GGAGGAAGGAAGCCGCAGACTGGGAGGAAGCCACAGACTAGGAGGAAGGAAGCCGCAGACTGGGAGGAAGCCGCATACCATCTTTACTCAGACATGGACCACATAAATTGCACCAAGATCACAGAATAGAAGATCAGCACACAAAAATCAGTTGTTACAGACCAGCAGCAATCTTTTAAAAAGTTTTAAATGAATTTAGAATGTCACCGAGAACTAAGGACTTAGAAATCACTTTGCCGGACAGATGCCAGGTCTCTATGCTGGAAACTAGCAGACCCTCCCCAGGAAAATGAAGGAGCCACACATGTGCAGAGCTGAGTCCCAGAAGGGCCCTGAGGGCAAAGGTGCCGCCCTGCAATAGATCCGGGGACTCCCCACCAAACCCCAGAAAGAACGGCTTCAAAAACGGACACCTAGCTTCTAAAATATGCACAACTGAGACCTAGAAGCCAAAATGGTATTTAAAAATATTGAAGCTGGAGGACTCATGGGCTCTTATTACCTGGGATTACAGGTATGAGCCACAAAGCGACCAGTCCACGTGAGACCAGCATAGAACTCAGATCGGGGAAAACGGCATCCAGAATACTCAGGCAGCTCCTGTGTGGCCAGTGGACTCTGACAAAGGTGTGAAAGTGATTCAGTGAAGAAAGGAAAGTTGGGGAGCTTAAAAAAAAATCAGTAAATGCAAAAACCACCAAATAACTGTATGAAAAAATTCTACTTCACAATAAGTTAATACCAAATAAAATTACATATCTAAACATAGAGAACTAAAATTATGAAGCTATTAAAAGAAATATGAAAACATTTGTGAACTGATAGTAGATAAATATTTCTCAAAGTCAAAAATTGTCACACAGAAGGAAAAAATGATAATTGGAGTTCCTCAAAATTAAAAACTTCCAAAAGACACCAGGAGAAAACAAAAGCACAAGTGGGAGGACGGAGGAAACCATCGCAGTACGCGTCTGATGAGAACTTGTACCCAGAACCTCAAATTAAGAACCAAGGAAAAAAAAACACTGAATTTAAAATAACCAAGACTGGAGCAGACACCTCATAAGAATAACCGTCTAGTCAACAAGGCCTCAGGAAAGCGCAAACTAACACCATGTGGGGGGACACGGCAGGCCCACGGGACGGGCTAACGGGCTTAGAACTGACCACACAAGAATCCGTGGAGTGCGGAACTCTCAAACAGTCCTGATGAAAATGTAAAGCAATACGACTTTGGGAAACATTTTAGCAATTTTTTATGAAGTTGCCTATATACCATCCTATTTAGCAATTCTATACCCAGGAATTTTTTCGAGAGAAAGGAAAGCCTGTCTACAGGAGGCTTGACAAGCCTCCACGAAGACGCTCCCAGGACCTCTGTGCCTTGCTCTGGGCTGCAGGTGTATGGTTGTACACTTGTCAAAACTCACTGACTAGTACACTTAAAGGCTGAGTTTCACTGTGTACTCTTTTTTAAAAATAAAATGTTGAAAAATTGAGTATTCACACCGTTTTTGCATCATTCCCAAACTTTTAAGTTTGCCAACATTACACACACATACATTTCTGGTGACACCCCCCAAGATCTGTTTCCCACCATCCCTGCAGCTAAGCTTGGCCACATGACTGCTCCCCAGGCAAGGGATAAATGGGAAATACCAGACTATCTCTGGAAGGGGCGGTGGCATGCCCTCCTGCCTTTGTCCTCACCCACAGCTGGGGCCCCATAGCCAGCCCGAGCAAGGACCTCAGCCTGGGGACCCTGAGAGGAAACCTCAGGGAGCCCAAGTTCATCAGGGCCTCCAGGCCACCAGATCTGGCCTCCACTGTCTGCAGGTGTGTCTTCCTGAGACATCAGCTGCCCCGTCTATGGCATTTGAAGGCTGTTCTTACAGTTAAACCTAACCCTAATTTGAGGCAGAAAGTTCCTAAAGTAGAAGTTCAAAATTAAACCTCTTCATCACCATTCTAGTCATTTAACCATAAGGGGCATTTAACTAAATGTATCTTATAATGCTGAGGGGTGGGGGTATTTTTTGTTTGACTTTCTCTTCCCTAAATTCACTTAAGGAGTACCTATACTCTTTTTTCTGAAAGGAAAAAAAAAAAAACCCAACACATAATTTCTATGATTTATTGCGCAACTGAACATGCTAAAAGACAAAATGACATTTTCCCTACAAATTATTTGGTGCCTGTGATTTCTGAGCACTCGAGCCAGATGGTCCTCATAGAAATTGAGAAGAGTATTCACATAGTTCAAAGGTTTGCTTATTTTTTTGGTCTTAAAGACGATATTGATTGTAACACGTAGCTCTACAGGAAAAATCTTGACAGTGGAGGTGAATACTGATATTTATTGCTGCGCTTGTACTCATTATGGCTGTCTCTGACAGGGGTCCATTAAAATCAATTTTTATGTTTCTTATGTATTTTCTTTATCTAATGTTCTTGGCATTGTGTTTATTAGCCAGTTAAGATAAACACCGAGCATAGGAGTAGGTGGGTTTTTTTCCCCCTTCTAACAAAAATAAGAACTACAATTTTAATACAGCTATTCACCATCAATGAATGGAGGAAATTAAATATACTTCAAAACAAAACACTGAGTGCTTTAAGTTTTACGTGCTTTTACTGTTAGAGAAATACAGTGAACACTGTTCACAGAAAGAGAAACGTGCATGCCTTAGAATGACAGTGCCCTAATGTCGCGCTAAAGAGGGACTTTCTCTGCCCTTTCCCCTGGCAGGGCCTCTGCAGCCCACAGGCACCAGCAGTCTGACAGGTGTCCAGGAAGGCGTGTAGCACTCCCGATTAAGCGACTCCAGAACCTTCAGCAGGCTGAGTATGAAACTCACCTGCGTGACCTTGATCAACAGGGAAGGCTGGTCTTGATTTTAAAAAGGCAAGATTAGTCCTCTCCCTCTCTCCACATTTCCAGAGACACATGTTGAAGACTCAGAATGTTCAACACTTGTAAGTAATCAGCTTTTCCATAAATGTATACATTTATCAGATGTCTCAGAGCTACAAATGAAAGGTTATGTGCTTGTGGTTAATCAGAGGTGGAAGATTCTGGGGCCACAAGCACAGGAGTTGGAAATGTGAGAACCATCACAGTGCACTGTTTGAGAGAGAGGCTAGTGCTTCTGGCTGGTGGCGGAGGCTACGTGTCACCTGTGGTCACTGGAAGGCAGGCAGTTACCACGTCTGCTTGTGTTGCTCTGGCACACACCGCTCTAAGCCCACACTTACCCAGCTCCGGGCGCCTTCTCACCAGGAAGCCTTATCCCATGCAGACCTTGTTCACAACCTGATATCTCGATTTTCCCCAAAGGGCTGTCCAACATTGTGTATTTCATTTCACAGGTCTTGTCCATCCTGCCAAGCACCTGAAACAATGTTTAAATCAAATTTTAAAAGTAGGCATGGAAGAGCTAGGTCATGCATACAGTCCCAGAGAAGCATCAGTTAAAACAAAGTATATTACAAAGCTTTTCCCTCATTCTTGGAAATTATATAATGTGTCATTTTTATAAAATAGTTAGCTTGAAGACAGAAAATTACAATTACCTAGAGAGCAAACAACCAACACTACACTCTATTCCCTTAACCTAAGACATCCAGGTTGTCTCGAAAAAGAGAAAACAAAAACAAAAAAAAATCAGTCTCACTCCATTTCCCTGGGTTGAGTGCCATGGAGTCACGGCTCACAGAGCCCTCAAATTTCTGGGCTCAAGAGGTCCTCCTGCCTCAGCCTCCCACGCTGGGACTACAGGCACCCACTACAATGCCTGGCTATTTTCTAGAGACGGGGTCTCCCTCTTGATCAGGCTGGTCTGGAACTCCTGAGTTCAGGTGATCACCCCCTGTCCCTGCCCCGGCCTCCCAAAGTGCTGGAATTATAGGTATGAGCCCCATGTTCTAATCTGTCTTTAACCAATGCACAGCTGAAGGAAGCTCCATCGGTAAGAACTTTTAAATACTTAGAACTAAGTTAATCTGGCTTTAACAATAAAAGAGCTACCAGACCCAAAAAATAGACAACCTATTTTGTATAAAATATGTTTAAAAATAAAACACTGTGAAATGAATTACAGAAATGCAGTGAGATTCAACTCAGCACTTACACAAAGGCACCTGCTATCAGGCAGCGGGGGAGGGGGTGCAGGGTGGGAAGATGACGCTGTGGGAAGCATATTTCACGTGTATTTGAAGAATATACAACTACCCTATGGATGTGTTCTCCACGTCAACGATTTTGATAAGCACTAATTTTGGTCAATGTAGCCAGGGCAGGACAGAAAGATACAGGTGTTAAGAGCAATGAGGCACCAGTAGTGAGGTTCAGACAAACCAGCATTCAGGGAGGAAAGGGGATGGTGATGGGGGTGACCACCTGCACCAGACAGAGTCCTCCATCTCCTCCCACTTAAGATCCCTTCTCTAGTTCTTAGAAACAAAAAGAGGCTTTACTGCCTCCAGTCACCAGATCACCCTACCTGCCGAAGTCTCCCAGATCTGCACATTTGATCCCAACACCAATGATAAACAAACATGCCCAAAGCTTCCCCACCTGACAGCGGGAAGCTGGGACGCATACTCTCTGTCTCCACTTCTTCCTCCTAGAAGCAGCTGAAGTGAACTTGTCCAAAACTCTCACCTGCAACAGTGCTTTCCTACACACACACAAAGCCTTCACAGAGCATTGGTGCCGCGTGTGTGACCGTGGGAATCCTCGTCTGCCTGGGCACTCTCAGGCCCCAGTTGCACTAAGCACCAGGTCTGGCTATTTACCTGATGCCCATGTGGTCCACCCACACCACAGCTTCACCTGGATGCCCTCGTGGACTCTCCCCAAGGCACACAAGGGCCTTCTGTGGCCCCACTGCACTGGGCTCTTCCCAGTCTTACCCCTCCTGCAACCCTCAGAGCTCACGTGGAATACCGTACCAGGGGCCCACAAACTGGTGCACCCGGGCCCCACCTGGCTCAGCACCTGTCTCTGTGAACAGTCTCCCTGGAACACAGCTGCCCTCATTTGCTCACAGGGCTTATCAGCTGTGGCGGGGACAGTGTGGCCCTCTTTGTCCGGGGTACTGACTCTATGGCCTGCCGGGCCCCTGTGGGCTCCACTAGCTTGTGCCCCCCTGATCTGTCCCCCTCTGCTGCAGCCCGATCCTCAGACAGTCCCTGCGTCTTTGTGTCTCCTGTCCCATCCCCACTGGGATGTCCCCTCCCTGCGTGGTGTCTCCTGTCCTGGGAAGCCCGGCACCACTACCCCAGCAGAGCTTTTCCTGTGAGCCCCACATGCTCCTCATGCCACACCCTGGTTCTCTTATCTCCAACAGCCAACAGGGAAAGGCACACTCATGTCCCTTAAAGGGGTCAGGCAACAGTCCCCAAATCATGCCGGTGTACTGTGGAGGCTTCACTACCCAGATTCAGTCCTAAACACTCAGACTCCTGAGGGCCCCTTTCCAGTTTCTATGCAGATTGATGGGGATTTGACAGAGATTCTATTCCAGCACCCCAATGTATAGACCTGGGATCTGCTGGGAACCCCCAGCCCCTGCCCACACCACCCTTCTCACACCCCCACCTGCTGGGCTCTCACTCCTGTGCATAAGAACTGAGCTTCCTGGGAGGGGCAAGAGGGCCTGTGGGAGCACCCACCTGTCCTGTACCCCACCACACCCAGCAGGGCCAGAGAGGACGGGGGGCGACATCAGGTCCCCACCACCACCATCCATTTCTCTGAGAAAGTCACTTAAACTCTGTGTCACAACTGTTTTTAGGAGTAGGAGCGGAACAATATCATATCACAAGGTCAGCACAAGACTACAGGGGCTAAATGTGACAGCCTTGGCAATCTGAGAGACCCCAGCAGATCCAGGACACTGTTCTCCCCACCCGCCACCCTCAACACTTTAACCAAATGCCATTTACCTTCGACCCCGTCACCTGGATTACACTGCCCTCCTCTCCAAAATCTTACCCTAAGCATCAAAATCCTGCCAATCCTTCTCCCACCACCCTCTGCCACAGTCAGCTGCCCCCAACCCTGATACCTGTAAACATTTCCCATCACCCTCTGGCCTCACAGACACAGGGAACTGGGGGACCCCTGAAGGCAGCCAGAATCCTGCAGGAGCTGATGAAAAACCCACTGAACTGCCCACTCGGATTCGGCGGCCCCCTGCGAGGCACGGAAGGGGTTCAGGCTCTGGGCCCCTGGCTTCCCCTTCCTACCCTCGTCTGGCAGCACTGCAGAGCCCAGTGGGCCGGCTCCTGGCTTCATCACAGCATTCACCTAAAGCCACAAGTGAGGCTGACATTAATTGGTGGCAGAAAAAAAATTGATTTTCATGGCTATTTGGAGACCTCTGAAAAAATGAAGTGAATTCCGTTTCATCTTCCTTTTAACATAAATGGCGTTTAAATAACAATGTTCTGAATTAAGCAGTCGGCGCCAGAGGCCAGTTCCAGCCATATTAAAAGGCAGAGGCCCAGAGACAGAAACTGTCTTCTTTTTCCTCTCCTGGTAGTTTCCAGGCCCGCCGCAGATGTCTAAAAACCGTCCTTCCAGAACCATCTCTGCAGCTCTGCACCTTTCACTGTTAACCATTTCCACTGTCAGGACCAGTGCAATGAAAATGCCCATGAACAGGCTGAGAGGGAGAACTGCCTGCCTCCTTCTAAGTAGTCTACAAACCAGATCCCCAGGGTCCCCTCTGTGTCGACTTTGGGGTGTTTTTGCGCGGGACACGTGAGCTCAGCCAGCTCATGGAGGACTGGCCCGACTGCGTCAGGAACCCCCAGAAACCCGTAAGGAAATGAAAACAGAGAATAAAAAAAAGCACCAGGGAAGCCCCTAGGTCTTGAGGACTCATGCTCTGTGCACCTCAAGACCAGGCATGAGGGAATATTTTAATTAAAAAAAAAAGTCCAAATCCTAGAAGAGAGAAAATATCTTATATCTATCACCTAATAATAATCCTGGTCCCAGATGGGGGAGAAGGAAATGGTGGGCTTGATACCCGCCGAGAATAAACGTCCAGTGATAAGACCCTGCCCCCCCCAGCCCCCATGCCCACTGTGGTCGGGGTCTCCCCAGTGGATTCTGCCAGGTCACATTCAGCAAAAGACCCTCAATGTGTGATCCCGCTGATCATTCTCCAACAAGCAAAAAGGGCCCACTCAGATCTGAGTGGTTCACCACACAGAACCGGCATTGCTACCTGGTGTGTCAAACCTGGGATGAACCCAGAGGTTATTGTCAAAGACCACGGAAAAGCCTCCTGCCTCCTGCCCCGGCCCTGACACAGGCCACGTAGGGAAAGGGAACCTATTCTCCAAGTATCTGTGAGTCCAGCTACATGCATATACAAACACAGGAGAAATTCCGCATCAGAAGTACCGAGGCGGCTTTCAAATGAAAAGACTGCTTACATCTGAAGGCGGCTCCCACAAATGCTGGGTCCTGCTAACGTCCTGGCCACACAGACTCCCAGGACAGGGGACCCTGGAACTAGAGGTGGCCTCATGGCAGGGAACCTTTCTCATGGGAGATGCTTTGGTTGTTAAGAATATTCTAATGACAGGAGCCCTGGGGAGCTCGGGACACAGGGGAAGAACTCGCCTTGCAGCTGGTTCCAGGAGCACCCCCAGCACGTGTGCCTTATGAGAGAGCTCAGCACAGACATCTAAACAACACACAGGTGCCACAGTGACGTGAAGATGCCTATATGGCAGGCTAGGAGGCAGAGGGACCTTGCAGGACCCCATTCACTGGTCTTTAAATCAGCCCTTTCTAGATATCAACTGGCACTGTCTATATTTGACAACTGTATTTAAAATAACACCTGGTTTTCCTTTCTGAACTTTTCATGTAGGTGCGTGTATCAAACTCAGTCTGAGTGAGGCAGGAAGATAAATCCTTTTCTGTTCTGAAGCTCAAGCTCTGTTTCAATCTGTACAATCAAGCAGGACTGAGCCAGCTCTGTATGTGTGTGTAGAAAAGAAAGAAATCACATAAAGAGGGAACTGCAGAAAACTTTTGTGTGTGTAGTTTTAACAAATTGCTCAAAAATTGCCTGGAACTTCAAGCACTTTTGAAAAATCTTTCCAGATGATAACATCTGGAACTCCCACATCCAGTCCAACCAGTTAGCGAGACAATCTGATTCTAACAGAAAACTGACCCACGATACCCGAACAGTATAAAGAAGGATTCATAAAGGTGTTTTGGAAGCTTAATAGTAACTAGTACCTGTCTCTTTAGGAGGTTTCATGAAAGGCTTTCCTACTTCAAAGCCCACTGTGGACCAGACACAAAGCCACACAAAGATGTCCCATGAAATGGAGGTGCCCGTATCACAGGGCACACACC